GTTTTGTTTTGCTTTCATATGAATTTCTATACTGTCTTTTCTAGATCTGTGAAAAAAAATGCTATGGTTTGATAGGAGGTGCATTGAATCTGTAGATTCTATAGATTATATATTATCTTGAGTAGAATGGACATCTTGAACATAGTGATTCTTCTAATCCATAAGCATAGGATGTTCTTCCATTCGGTTGTGTAGTCTTTGATTTCTTGGAACAGTGTTTTGTAGCTTTATTGTAAAGATCTTTCACCTCTTTGGTTAGATGAATGCCAAAGGTTTATGTGTGTGGTGTGTGTGTATGTGTGTGTGTGTGTGTGTGTGTGTGTGTGTTGTGGATGGAACTGTGTTTTTTATTTGGTCCTCAGCCTACTTATTGCTGGTCCTTTGCAGCAACCTGGATATACTGGAGACTATAATTCTTAGTGAACTATCACAGAAACAAAAGAAACTGAATGCCACATGTTATCACTCATAAGTGGGCACTAAACATTGGACAAGCGAGCACAAAGGCAGGAACAACAGATGCTGGGCACTGCTAAACAAGGGAGGGAAGGGAGCCATAAAAGGCATACAACCACCCATTGGGTATTATGTTGACTACCAAGAGGGGAGAGGGCATGATAAAAGCCCAAACCTTGCCTTCATATAATTTACTTATTAGCAAATCTTTACATGTATCCCACAATTCTAAAATAAACTTAAAACAAAATAAAGCTGGAAAAAGTTCTTTTGTTTCTAAAAAATAATTAGACTATGAGAGTACCTATAAGCTTGCTTGTATATTTTTACAACAGATAAGAAAAATAATTTAGGCTTTTTAATATTTGATTATAATGGAATTGACAGCATGAACGAGTTGAGGGAGGAACATATGTAGAAGTGCCAAATACAAGATGAAGGCAGCCCAGAGTACTTGATAATAGAAGAAATGGCATCCAGACCTTTTTGGCACCCTTGGAAGGTCTGCTGCAATTGACCTACTGATAATAGCACTTATTGAATAGTTTGTTCTCCAGTTTATCCATTGAACAAGATGTCCTTATCTGTATTTGTCATATGAAAGGTAAAGCTCTGCTTATCTGCATCAATGCATATCTCTGAGCTGCTATATTTCAAGGTAGAGTGGGTTGCACATATAAACAATTTTTACTCTGTAGCACATTCATACTTTCTCTAGATGATACTTTGGGGAAGTACAATATTGAACAAGATTATTCTTAGTATACAATAAGAAAATAACAATCAAAATAAATACATAAAGAAATGGATAAGCAGAAGGATGTATAGTGTCATGCAAAAAATAGTAGCATTTTATTGTGTCTGTAAAAATTAATTATTCTCATATCATGTATTCTTTGAATTTTCTTATTTATTCCTCAACTACATCCATTTTTAATTTGTCTTATATCTTTACACTCTTTGAAATAGGCTTTTTTTAAGAAGTCAGAAATACTAAAACTAAAATGCTCTGCACAATAGGTGCTTTTAGCAAGCCAGATATGCACAGTTAAGCTGTGCTTGCAGGATTGTTTTTCTTAAAGTGCAGTCAATTGACCATATACCAGCACTAATTTGTTTCTAACCAGTAAGGCATGTGCACATGCTGCCCCATACGACAGTGATTGCAACCAACGTGGCCAGGGTGCTTGCTTTTACTCTCGATAAAGGAAAATGTAAATGCAACAGCATGCCTCAGCTTAGAACCACATATCTCCAGACCCTGCTTTCTTCCGAAAACAGATTTTCCATTTGTCCTGCATTCAGATTTATGCTTTTTTCATAAAACATGGCTTATCCTCCTAAGGAAATTCTGGAAAAAATGACTTCGAACTAGTCTACTGCAAAAATCTTTTGAAAACCTGTGTTGTTATCCTAATAAAATTATAATATGCATCTTCCCTTATAATATTTATAATATAATATAAAATGATATTTACAGTATACTCAAAGTAGTATTTTATTTATATTTCTTACAGGTTTTAGATGCTCACAGGTGCCTTAAAATTCTCTCTTAAAATAATAACACTAGAGGGCAGGTGGATAGATTTCTAGGACATTATTATATTTTTTCAGGCACTCAGCCTGCTGCCTGGTTTTTCATAATAATTTCAGTCTTGGGAAACTATAATTATCCTGAAGCACACTACTTACAGTCTTATTTCTTAATTATAGTAGTGACATGAGATAAATGCATGCTTATTGAGATCAAATGCATACTATTTTGTGGTGATTACGAAGAAGTTCTCACGACAACAATTGCAATTATATGGTCATCAACTACTGATAACATGTTATGTTCTAGAAACTCTGTAATTAAGTCTTATCAAGAGGGCACTTCCTATAGGAGATGTAAGAAAAAAAATTGCGTGAGAGATTTTCCAGTGTAACATTGGCCCATGACATATATACCTGAGCTTGTTCAAATTATTCCAGTCTGAAGAAAGACCATTATATCAATTAACATTTAAGGGTTTAATTTAAATTTCTACCTTAAAAAAAACTATATAAAGAATTTCTCTAATAATCTTTCTCTTTTTTAAGCTTTAGGATAAAAAGATTTGAATATACCCAAGGGAAAAATGGACTAGAAATATTATAGGAGTAATACTGTCTTCAAAGATAAATTTACAGTCTATCAACAATATTCTTTTCAAATACTGTAATTCATTGTTTTAAAAGCTTTCATTTAAGATCACAAAACAATATATCTTTTGTCATTTCAATTTTTACAAAAGAAAAAATTTAAGTTGCCAAGATAATATTTACATAGTTTTTCTACCTCTTCTATAGAAATATGTTTTGTCTTATTTTAAAAAAAAAAAAAAGGCTAAAAGAGAAAAACAAGATGGACGTCAAACTGAATATATGAAAATGCTTGGGTGAAGATATCAGGTATATAACATGTCAGGTGTTGGAATCTGACTGTCTGGGTTTGAATTCTTGCTTTGTCACTGACTAGTTGTGGAACTTGGACAAGTTCCTTAACTTTTCTGTGCCTCTGCTTTTTCATCTGCAAAAGGAAGCAATAACAGTGCCTACCTTGTAAGAGCGTTGTGAGGATTTAATTATTTCATATATGTAAATTGCTTAGAATGCTGTTTAGTGCATAATAGGCACTATGGAATTTTAGGTATTATTTTATGTATTTAAGGACAGTAAGGCCACATTCTCTTATCTACCTTCAACTATTATGTGGATTAACTCTGATAATTGTAATAGGTTTCTAGGAGAATTCTTTTCCATATTCTAGTAATAACAGAGAATTTTTTTTCCCAAAGTAAAAAGGTCATTCACACAATGAATCTGTTATCTTTAACTTATAAGGCTTGCCAGAGTATTTTTTTAAATTCTCATACAAAGTAATGCTCTATTATTTTTGAAGGAAAAAAAAAAAACCCTCCTCCTCTCTTTGAGCATTTGCAGCTATTTTGTGACACATTAGATCATGGGAACAGAAGGTCCATATATAACATTTTTTGCATGGTTAATATCTAAACAGGTTGAATTGAAAATAATAAAAATAATATTGGAATGGTTACTTCAACCCCATTTGTATTTTCAATAATCCACATAGCCACACCAAGGAACCTAAACTCTTAAAACAGAGTCACTGGACATCCATACAAAACATTAGCCATGGGACACGAGTTTTCTTCTATATTATTTTTCTGTTCAATTTCAGATGTTATATTTTCTATTATTATAGACAGCATTATATTACCATAATATTTCTAGTTAAGTTAATAAAGTACTTAATCACAATATTTCAATTGTAAAATAGTCATAGATTGATATAGTAAATATTAAAATAAATTTTTAAAATACCTATATTTGAAATAGTATGATATTGAGGAACATGTACAAAATATTGTTTTGGGCACAAATAATAAACTTTCTATGAGTTGTATAAACAATTTAAAATTTAGATCAAAATTATATCGTTTTTTCTTTATTTCATATTTTTTCAAATTCCTGCTTCAATGCCCAATGTGCTAAATTTTAGATTGTCTGTAATCACATTAAAATTTTTGGTTGCTCTTTTAAGAGCAATCAATCTAATTTCACTTTTCCCTAGTCTCTGATCCAAAAAAGAACAACACTGGAATGTCATGATATTTTTTAGAGTTAATATGGAGATATAAAAAAAATTGAAAGGATTAATGACTATGAAAGAGGTTTTAGCTAAATGCAATTGGGTTCTGTTTTTTGGGTTTTTTGGGTTTTTTTTAGTTGAAGTCTCACTCTGTCACCCCAACTGGAGTGCAGTGGCACGTTCCCGGCCACTGCAGCATCGACCTGCTGGGCTCTGGCGATCCTTCCGCCTCAGCCTTCCAAGTAGCTGGAACTACAGGACGCGCTACCACACCGACTAATTTTTTGATTTATTGTAGAGATGAGGGCTCGCCAAGTTGCCCAGGCGGGTCTCGAACCCGCGGGCTCAGGCAGTCCACTCACCTCGGCCTCCCAAAGCACGGGATTACAGGCTCAGCCACCGAGCCCGGCCGGTTTCTGTTTTTAACATTTTTTAAATTGCAATAAAAATTCTTCATTAGACCATCAAAAAAAAGCAAGTTTTGTTGAGTCTGATTTCGTTTCAACCTTCATACGTATTCATTCTAGAAAAAAACTGGAACAATTGTTGAATTTTAGAGCGGGTTTAATAATATTTTTCACTAGTCTGGAAATTACTAGATTTGGGACTTTGATGATATTGATTCCATAAGAAAGAGAGGGAAAAAAAACTTATATGAAATGTGATGCTCCTTCTAAACAGTGAGGAAGTACCAATCTCAATTTTAATTTTAGTGTTAAAATTGAATGTGTGTAATGTTGATATAGAAAATAAATATGTGTGGCTTTTCATGTAAAAAGATAACTGTACTCACGAAATTTCAAGGTTAGATGAGCGTCAGGTTGAGCATCTTGTCTGGAGCTTGTACTACCACTTTTGAGCTTAAGCATATGATATTTTGTGGGCCTTTTTATTTATTTTTCAGATCAGCATTTTCATGACCCATTTATCAAACTATGGAAATGACCGCCTAGGGTTATATACCTTTGTGAACTTGGCCAATTTTGTGCAGAGCTGGACCAACCTGAAATTGCAAACTCTGCCTCCAGTGCAACTGGCCCACAAGTACTTTGAGCTCTTCCCTGAGCAGAAAGACCCTCTGTGGCAGGTAACATGTAACATTCTCTCCTGGGGAGGAAGGAAAGAAACTAGCAATTTGTGAGAGCCTGATTTGTGTTAGGCGCTCCGCTGGATGTATGAAAACTGGTGTTTAACACAAACTGCTCTGTTATGCAATAGTTTTATTCCCTTCCTCGACAATATTTTTATTTATTTTATAGATTAAACAATTGCATGTTTTGCTTCTTTTTGTGGATTTTTGTTTGTTTGGTTGGTTGGTTTAAAATTTTTGCTTTGAGGATGTGGTTTGATTGTTGGTGTCATCTTCAAACCAATCATTTTGACTTTCATGTAGTGTGAGCACTAACTAGCCGTAAAATGGTTAGTCACTGGATAGCTAGAGAAATAAAAACCAAGAGTCACTGTAATCTAAGGCCCTATAACTAGACATTGATATATGTATGTATAACACAGTGTGTATAAGAAAGAAAAAGCAATTTTTATTTTGTGCTTATAGAGATTTAGCCTCTTTTTAGTGTATCTTCACTTTTTAAAAAATCTAATTTTTCTCTAAGATCAGATCTATTGACAAAAGAGAGAATTGTCAGGTTTTGAACTTTTACTAATAGTTGAACTTCGTGTGGGGCCACTTAGTCGGGATGCATCATATGTAAACTATCTGCTTCTCAGCAGTTATCTAGGAAAATGCTGCCTCCCATTTTCTTGGTTCTTTATGCATCGGATCACATTGACCCACACAATCAATAAGCTGGCTGCAGAGAGCAGATCAGATGATCTCCTGCTAAGCAGTCAGTAGAGAAAGTAGCATCATCATTAATGAGAAATCACTGTGAAACAGACTTTTTACTGTCCTCTCTTCCTCTCCCCAAGACCATTTGTTTCTCTTTATCTAGTAAATCATGTTACATGCTGCTTGGCGTCTATACAGTCAAAATTTCATCTGAGTGTTCACTGAGCATCTATGATATATAAGGCAAAGCTAGGTGATCTAGGTAGGCAAAGAAAAATAAAATACATTTTTTTTCTCAAAGCTGGTGGGGGGTAATTTATCCTTATTCTTATCTACTATCATATGTTTCCAAATGTGTTCTAAAACAAATAAAATTATTTAATCAGCAGCTCTTCATCATTCATGTTTACGTTGAACTACACATTCTATTTGCCCTTCCAGTGAGTTGCTTGATCATCTACGCGTTTGGTATTTAGGTTAGATAGATAAATAGAAACATAATTATTGTGAGTGTATAGAGTCACACAAAATAGACATTGAATTACAAAAGTGGTTGCTCAAAGGAGCTCACACACTTTTATAGAATTGATAAGTCATTGATGATGAATCAATTCTTTCCTCACACTTTTTTTATATGGGATGTCTATAATGTATAGTACAGTAACAATGAAAAGCAGCCAAATTAATAAAAGTTTCAGACAGCTGCCAGAGGAAGAATCAGTCAATGGCTTCAAGCTCTACTCTTCCTTTTTTAATGATGAGTGTGTTTTTTGGATATCGTTTAAACTTTTTAAAATGAAGAATTGTATTTATTGATATTATTTGAATATTAGTGACACTTTTCTTAAAGACTAAATAATAATAAAAATATATCAGTTCAATATGATTTAGTCAACAGTATGATGCTAAATATTGATTTAAAATTTGTTAAATATAAGATACCGTGCTGGCTGATTAGGCATATAAATGAAAATTAGAAGTAAAAAATGGGATTATTCTGTAGAAAATTATATCTTCTTTACAGACGCAGGAAATATGCTGACAATTTTCATTGTAAGTAGTATCATAGGGGTCAATTTTTAGAAAATTCTTAATAGGCTGGGTGTAGTGTCTCACACCTATAATCCCAGCACTTTGGGAGGCCAAGGTGAGAGGATTGCCTGAGACCACAGGTTCGAGACCAGCCTGGGCAACCTGGCAAGACCTCATCTCTACAATAAACCAAAAAAAAAAAAAAAAGAAGAAGAAGAAAGAAAGAAAGTTCTTTAAAAAGAGAATAAATCAGAGAAGATTTTGCAGAGTTGAAAAATCTTTATCATTGTTTATATAATTTAGGAATTTTCATATATATTCTCAAAACATAGCTCTTTTGTAAGAGTATTTAAATGACATTCAAGAGCAAATGTTTTATACTGAAAGACTTTCTTGTTGTCATGTGAATTATATTATTCATATGATTTCTTTTCACTGAAAATTTAAATAAAATTGCATTGTTTTGCTAAAGTGTCATATGTTCGCAAATATATTTAAGAAGGAAAACAAAAATTAGAAAACAGAAGACTCCTTAAGTTCAAGAGGGAATTATTCAGGTACATGAGATTTTGAGAATAGTGGACTTATTGCAGCAAATTTAGTGAACCTTGCCAATCATAAGCAATGTCCAAAAAACTGTAATTGGGAAGTAACAATAAAGTACCTAATACTTCCTGAGTTATTTTCCCTGATGGTTATCTCTTCTTTTCATATTCATTTCTAGCCAAAAAACTGTAAGCATTGTCATTTCTTTCATACAATAGGATATAGTTCTGTAAAAAGAAAACTTAACAAACCAGCTTTAATAGGTAAATGTTTTATAGTCCATTCATCACAACCCTAGACAGTTAGGATAGATAAATATCATGTGTCTCTGTCATTGTTACAAATTGTCAAAATGAAATGCTAAGGTATCTTTTTGTATGTATGTACATGACTTCTTATTTGGTTTGTTTTATGTTTAAAAGTAAGTCAACTGTTATTTTCCTTTATATTTTCAATTCACACTTTTTATTACCACAAATAGAAAGAAAAAAGTGCAAAATGGTGATCTTCACATCTATTTAATTTCCTTTGGTTTCTCATGTAAATTTTCATTAGCACCAACTATCATATACGTGAAGCTGCTTTGTCACCTAATTAAAAAGTGTAATATGAATATTTGCCAATGTGTAAACTGATCAGAACAGCACAAAATACATTTGTGTTCCTCTCCCCCTGGAAGTTGATTCTTCCAAAGCTGATTAATATGGGGATGGGTGTTGAGGACACACATAGAATGCGATCTTTAGACGATTGTCACTTTAGCCCCTGATGTGCAAGACTTACAATAATATACACAGGTACCTATTAATTCATGCATCTTATTGTTTGGGTAGAATAATTACTACAGAGTGTGAAAGAATAGAGTTTCTTTTTTTTTTTCTTTTCTTTTTTAACTCTCATTATAGGAACCAAAACCACAACATGGAGACAGTTAGAAGGTCAGATTCTTGGACGTTCACCAATCGATGCTTTTAAGCTCTCAAACTGTCAGGTTAGCTCAGTCTCAATCTTCACTCAGTCACTCTGGAGTCCTACTATCAACAAACATGCCAAGCATGATGTGTATTCCTGCTTGCCTGTGTGCCTGGGAGAATGCTCAAAAAGCTGCAGTTTCTCTCTTTCCATGCCAGTGTCTCCAGGGTTAAATAAGTGGGAAAGTAAATCACAGTGCACTAACCTTAAGTGGTTAGCACCTTTGTTCATTCCAGCTGTCGAGGCATCCAGCTCCAGTTTAGAAATGATGAGATTTGAATGTCTGTGACAAACAAATCAAGATCTGGTGGCATACACACGTTCTATTATTATGAGTGTCGTGAATGAATGAAGGAATGCTGACACAAAGAATTATAGACTATAAGAGCACAATAAGAAGTTAGGGACAGCTAGTCCAACCTATTCATCTTAAAAAGGAAATGGTTGACACCAGTGAAGTGAAATGCCTTGTTCTAAGTCACTTGGCTTATTAGAGACAAGTCAGGACTAAAGCCCAGTTTTCTTACTCCTACTCCAGTGTAAATTGGACCACAAGATGGTAGTTTTATGTTTAAAAAACACATCTACTTTCAAGTGTGAATGCTTTCAGTCTATACTTTTGAAGTAGCTACATAATCAAAAGGAAGATCTTGGTCTTCATTAAACTTACAAAACACAATTTCTTCTTATGTGAACAAAACAATGTTATAAATTTGTGTTCATATATGTTCCTCTCCTTACCACACTATATCTTATTTATAATACAGTTATTGTACCTACCAGCAGTTGCTTTTTTGTTTTGTTTTATTTTTGTTTTGTTTGAGTTGGAATCTCACTCCACTGCCCAGGCTGTAGTCCAGTGTCACACTCACGGCCACCCCAGCGTCGACCTGCTGGGCCTCAGCGATCCTTCCGCCTCAGCCTTCCAAGTAGCCAGAACTATAGGCGTGAACTACCATGCCCAGGTAATTCTGGATTTATTGTAGAGACAAGGTCTCACCAACTTACCTGGGTTGGTCTCAAACCCGCAGGCTCAGGCAATCCACTCATCTTGGCCTTCCAAAGTGCTGGGATTACAGGCTGAGCCACCAAGCCCAGCCACAGAGTATTTGTGAACACCATATACTCTTTCATGTGAACCTTAATGGGTGAGTCTATGTTGACTTATATTTGGAACCTAGAACTTAGCATAATACAGTAGCTGCTGTCTTCAAAATATCATGACAGAATTATGAAAAATAGCATGTCTGTGCAAAGAACAATAAAAATAGCATGCTTGTTTCTTACATGAAAGTAGGGGTGTAATGATAAATAACCTTGGAAAGCACATACAAGTCAGTGGGGAAAACTTTGAAAGTTGACTGTGTAATTTGAATTTGTTAGGCAATAAAGAACAACAAGATATAGTCTCTGAAGATGAGAGTGAAGTGATAAAAAATGTTGGTTAATTAAAATGACATCAGGAACCTTTTTTTCAGGACAGGTAAGAGCAGGGAAAAGATGAAGTTAGGACAATAATCTACCTATGTGAGAAGGAAGATCCAAATAGCTTCATGGTCACGAAAAGAGAGACCTTCAAAGAAAAAGTGGGTGAAGCTGAGACTAAGGAACGAGTAATCTGTGACTAATTACCCCACAGCTGGGGAAATAGGAGTTCTATAGTTGTATATTTTTCCAAAATTGTGGCCAGGCTCAGTGACTCAGCCTGTAATCCCAGCACTTTGAAAGCCCAAAACAAGTGGATTGCC